GTTCTCATAACTAAAAAGCAGAATCAGAGTTAATTTATCATTATTTGTTGTTGAAAGAAGAAAACGCATAAATATATTCTTCTACTCCGAAGAAAACCGGTTATTTCATTTTTTTTCACTTTAGTTCTTGAATTTTAGATTTAAGGGTACTTTCTTCGATTTAAAAAAAAGTAGGGGTGGTGGAGCAATTTTGACATTATTTGAGTTGTTGAAAGAAGAAAACGCATAAATATATTCTTCTACTCCGAAGAAAGCCGTGTTTTTATTTTTTTTTACTTTAATTCTTGAATTTTAGACTTAAGGGTAGTTTTTTCGATTTAAAAGAAAACAGAGGGTGATGGAGCAATTCTGACTTCATATTCGTATTCAGGGGGCCAAAATACTATAAGACATGTAGGTCTTGTTCAATGAACAGACAACTTTTTTTTTTTAATAATAAAAATTAAAAATAATTATTTTTAATTTTTATTATTTAAATACACAATTAAAAATAATAATAATACTCCGCAAAAAAGCCCAACTAATAGAAAAATAAAAAAGTAGGTTAATTTTAAATTTAGATCCAACTATTACAATGTTATAGATTTATTAAGTAATATATAACAAGTAATATTATATATATTTCTCTAAATAAAGATGTCTATTGACTTTTTAAAATTGATTTTCTTAAAAATTTCTTTATTAAAAGTATTAATATTTAAATTTTATAGTAATTGCTGTTTTAAAAAATCAATCCGGGAATATTTATTTTTGGTCCGGGAATTTAAAAATAATAATTCACTAGACACCTTGAATTAATTTTTAACTTGATATAATAATTTTAACTCACTAAAATGAATTTAATTTTAGTTTTTAATAGAATTAATAAAAAAGAATTTAAATGTTTTTGGATATCGATTTTTTTTCAAAAAATAGGTTATTATTGTATTATTTTTAGTTGTCAGTTATGGGAAAGTCGAGAAGCAGTCGAGAAGTTCGGTCGATGACAATTAGAAAATTAGACGATACGATTTGACAATTAACAAAAGAATAAACAAGATGATCGTTTGAAAACCAAAGACGATAACCAAATAATCGCTCGAAAAAATGAAATTCGCGGATCGAAGTGAAACACTAACTTACAGAAATATAAGTCATTTTTCACTGATTATCCATTTAAAAAATTATTGTTGATGTCTGCCAAACAAATACAGGGTTGCCACGGACTTAAAAAACCTGGGAAACCCGGAATTGTCATGGAATTTTTTTTCAGTCATGGAAAACCTGAAAAATCTGGAATTGTCAGGGAATTTTATAAAGCCTGATACTAAAAGCTCAATTTTTTGTATTTGAGTCGTAAAAATTTCAAGTTTTCAAGTTGACATACAACTTTTTGATTTTAAATTTAGTGCTTACAATTGAAATCAATATGGCATTTCTAAATTTTAGTTTCTTTTGGTCTCTATCTTCCTTTAAATAATTTTTAAATTAATACATTTTAGAAACCCCAAAATGTTATGAAACTGAAGCTACCAACTTTTATGCAATGAAAATTTTTTCTTTTGCTAATTGTTTTTTAATGTAAGAAGCCCTTTAAAAAATTGCAATCGAAAAAAATTGCTTCTGAAGCAAGGAAATAATAATTTAGTTAAAATTTCGGGATATTTGGAAAATCTACGAAAAAATAATTAAAAATCACTAATTTCCTTGCCTTCCTTAGATCCTCTTACAATTTTTTTAAATGACTTGTCACATTAAAATAAATAATTTGTAAAAGAAAAAATTGCTTATGAGGTGAGGAAATAATAATTTTGTTTAAATAATATATGGATTTTTCGAATATCTGTGTAAAAAATCAAAATTAATAATTTCCCCGACTTCGATCTTTTAAAATTTTTTAAAAGGCTTCTAACATTAAAATAAATAATTAGCAAAGAAAAAATTGTCATTGAATAAACGTAGGTAACTTCAGTTTCATAAAATGTTATTAAAATGCTTTTTAAAATACTGGTTTAATAATTGTGAAAAATTCTAAACTTAACTAAATTTTTAAATTTAAAAAGATTTGCTCCTCATCTTTCTTCGGAGCGTATCTCAAATAACCTTACAAATTTTAACTTAATTTTTTGTTAATAATGAAATTAAAAATTAATAACTTATTTTGTTAACAATTTACTTAAAGGATTTTATACTTTTTGTCGTAATTAGCTAAAAACATACCAAAACAATTTTATTTCTGGTTTGGAATTTTTTAAGAAATGGTCTGGAAAACCTGGAAAAGTCATGGAATTTTAAAATCGATGTCTTGTGGCAACCCTGAAATAAATAAGTAAATACACAAGTAAATAAATAAGTTCCATTACAACACAGACAGCGCAGCATTAGCGAGTGAGGTATTTACGTATATTTAAAAAAATTTCAACAGACACTACGTGCATCAACGAACCTTAAAAAATTCAACAATTTATATTATCAATCGTTTATTAAATCTATACATATATGTGATTTGTGTATATGTAGGAGTTTATATCTGCATATGAGCAGTATACATGTGTATGTAATTTATGAACATGTGTGAGTATACATGTACATGTGATTAGTGTATATGTGTGAGTATACATGTGTGGGTGTTATGCGCGCATGCTTGATATTCATAGAACACTACTGCGCATGCCTGATATTCATAGAACACTACTGCGCATTCCTCACATTGATAGAACACTACTGCGCATGCCTGACATTCATAGAACAATAGTGCGCATGCCTGACATTGATAGAACACTACTGCGCATGCCTGATATTCATAGAACACTACTGCGCATGCCTGATATTTAAAGAACACTACTGCGCATGCGTAATATTGACAGAACACTACTGCGCATGCCTAATATTGACAGAACACTACTGCGCATGTGTAATATTGACAGAACACTACTGCGCATGCGTGGCACTAATAGAACACTACTGCGCATGTGTAATATTGTCAGAACACTACTGCGCATGTGTAATATTGACAGAACACTACTGCGCATGCGTAACAGTGATAGAACACTACTGCGCATGTGTAATATTGACAGAACACTACTGCGCATGCGCAACAGTGATAGAACACTACTGCGCATGCGTAACATTGACAGAACACTACTGCGCATGCGTAATATTGACAGAACACTACTGCGCATGCGTAACAGTGATAGAACACTACTGCGCATGCGTAACATTGACAGAACACTACTGCGCATGCCTAATATTGACAGAACACTACTGCGCATGCGTGGCACTAATAGAACACTACTGCGCATGTGTAATATTGTCAGAACACTACTGCGCATGTGTAATATTGACAGAACACTACTGCGCATGCCTGATATTTAAAGAACACTACTGCGCATGCGTAATATTGACAGAACACTACTGCGCATGCGTAACAGTGATAGAACACTACTGCGCATGTGTAATATTGACAGAACACTACTGCGCATGCGTAACAGTGACAGAACACTACTGCGCATGCGTAACAGTGATAGAACACTACTGCGCATGCGTAACAGTGATAGAACACTACTGCGCATGCGTAACATTGACAGAACACTACTGCGCATGCGTAACATGGACAGAACACTACTGCGCATGCGTAACAGTGATAGAACACTACTGCGCATGCGTAACAGTGATAGAACACTACTGCGCATGCGTAACAGTGATAGAACACTACTGCGCATGCGTAACAGTGATAGAACACTACTGCGCATGCGTAACAGTGATAGAACACTACTGCGCATGCGTAACAGTGATAGAACACTACTGCGCATGCGTAACAGTGATAGAACACTACTGCGCATGCGTAACAGTGATAGAACACTACTGCGCATGCGTAACAGTGATAGAACACTACTGCGCATGCGTAACAGTGATAGAACACTACTGCGCATGCGTAACAGTGATAGAACACTACTGCGCATGCGTAACAGTGATAGAACACTACTGCGCATGCGTAACATTGACAGAACACTACTGCGCATGCGTAACATTGACAGAACACTACTGCGCATGCGTAACATTGACAGAACACTACTGCGCATACGTGACATTGTGAATATGTATACATTTGTGTTAATATTATTTTTAAAAGATATACATATATATACGGCTAGGGTCGGTCGGTCGGTCGGTCGGTCGGTCGTTCTTCAACTTAATATAATAAGAGATTACTAAAAATTTACTTATTATTTATTTATATAATATCTACACGGAGAAAAAATGTTGTTGAAAATATTTCCTATTTGCATTCTTTTCTAAATGTGTTGTAGAAAATTAATGTCTTATAATTTTCTGCAATTCTTTTCAACATATCTTGCAAATCTCGTGCACTTTGCAAAAAAAGGGAAATGAAAAATATAAAGGAAAAATTAAAAAAGTATTAAAAGTATTGAATCGCTATATCTTGTCTCTATTCATGCTAAATTGTTTCTTCTTTTTATAGCTCGTGAGAGCAAAGCGAGCAGAGCAAGCAAAGTCATGATTCAGAAGCATTTCAAGAATGTGAAATCAAGAGCAAACTATTGTTATCTAAAGGAAAATATTTTCGAAAATACAAATTTACGCAAGAAATGAGTATTTCGGAAAACAAATCGGAAATAAAGTAACATGAATAAGTTACATAATAAAAAATACTGTAATTATTACAAAACTTAACGCCTCAATTCCTTCCCTTTTTATATACACGCTTCTGAAAACTGTATCTTTTTCTTTGTTTATTATTTCTTCCTTCTTTCATTATTCTATATTACATTCTCGACTTTGAAATTCCTTTCTGTTACTTCCTCAACCTAATTCTTAAATCTTTCACAGTTTCGTTTTTGCATTCCTCACTCTTCTATATTCCTTTTAAGCAATCTTCCATTAAATCTCGTTTATTTTATACTAATAAACCTTGCCACACGCGGTAAAACCTGACAATTTAGATGCCATTCCGTTGAAAAATGACAAGAGAAGAGAGGAGAGGAGAGAGAAGCATCTGGCAACGCCGAGGAGAAAAAGGAGAAAAAAAATATTGTTTATATGGAAACACGAGAAGGGCAGAAAAGAATGGATGGGGAGAAAAATAATAGAGAGAGAGTACACCAGAGAGTACACCGCGAGTACTATACATTAACAGTAGGAGAGGGAGAGAATCTGAGAAGGTGCCAGTCACTGACCAGACTACAAGCAGTTACATTCGAAGAAAACGTGCACCTTGCGACACTTTTTCGATTTGATTGTTGTTGTTTTTTTTAATTCTCAAAACTCATTTTTTATCTGTGATTGTTAACTTAAGTTGTGTGAAGTGATTTTTCTCCTCAAGGAACCATGTGACCCGGAAAGAGGAAAAAACACATCAAACTGGTACGTCGTTCTGGCAAAGAACTCGTTGGAAAAACTTCTCATTAGATTTCATCTCACCAAGTTCATTCACTATAACCTGTAAAAGAAAATATGCGGCTTTATCCATCGTTACTCAATGAGCGGAAGCGCTTATTAAAACAAAAAAAATAGTAACATGTGACTTTTCTAAAGTGATCGAGTAAAAGTGTAATTAACAAAAAGTGAAGTCTACAAAAGTGAATCCCTTAAATTAATTTAATATTAATGAACCAAATTTAATTTTAATTATCTAAAGATTCTATTTTATAGTTGTATATATAATTTCCTTTTTTTAGATTAAACAAAACTTTGTATTTCTTTTCTAAAAATCTGTTTTTATAAATCTTAATTTTTTCAAATTGTTTTAACGTTACAAAAAATACTTTTCATTAATAATATTATCTATTCGTTTTTTTCTGAGAAAACAATAGCAAACTAAAGAACAATAATTGAAGACAATACAACTTTTTTTTGCCAAGTTGAAATAAGTTTCTCTAGATCAGAAGGAATTTCTTGTATTGTGGTTAAAAGCCATTCTCTTGCTTCAGATATTTTTCCAGGAGTTAAAAAGACTATACTATAAACTCGTAACACAAACCATAAATTCTTAATGTAATACACATAGAGTGCTACAAATGCATAAAATATACGTTTTTATACACATGTCAAACCAGTTTTATATTATTATTATGGAAAATAATTTGCGTGTGAATCGTGACAAGTGTCTAAATTATAGAAAGTAACGTAAAATAATTAGCATTTCCATTACAAAATTTTTTTTTCCTCCCCTATAAACGGAGTGAAAAATTATCATTTTATAAGAATTTTAATAACGTCTTTTTTACTTTAGAGCAAAATCCATAAATTTACCTAAAAAATAGTTTGACATTTATCAAAATTTGATTAATTTTTCAATTTATCATCAATTGTGCAATGCTAAATGTATTTTTCTTTCGAAAATGTAAACAAAATTCCGGCATTTCATATATGAATTCACTAAAAATAAATATTAATGCGACTTAAAATAATTTTATAGAAAGAGATGATAAAATTCAATTAATTTAAATTGAAAATAATGTCAAGTGACAAAAATTCTTTTTCTTTTAAATAAAGAACTCTTGGAATGCTTAATAATTTCAGAAAAGTCATAAAACCAGTTTATTAATTTTCAAAAAGTAGAATTTTACGATGTGGTAATATTTTAATTTTTCAGACATTTTAATAAAAAGGAAAAAAGAAGAAGTTAAGTTAAAATGTTGATAGAACAAAATGAGGCTAAACAAGAAATTCTTCTCTCTAAAGGAATTATTCTTTACCACTATAATAATATAATATTCCCTATATTAGAAAAAATTGCAGATTTAGTTATGCTAATTAAAATTTAACGCTTTTGCCAGAGGAATTTTCAGCTTTCTTACACCAGTATGGAATAATGGAGTTAATTAAGAACTTGAAATTTTCGCGAAATGATTAATTATGCTGTATCTACGATGTAGCACTAACAGTCTTGCGTTTCATTTCGAAGCACCAATGTACAAGAGCATTATTTCCTTAATTTACAGATCGTCGAGGCCCAGCCAACTGTAAATAGAATCCACTGACCTTAACGAAATTACAGAGGATACTGATGATCATACCAAGCTAATCGATTTATCACTAGATCGTTAATTCAATTACATGTAAAAATTGACAATTTAAACACAAATTCCCAGTGAAAGTCACTGATAACTAATGTCATAATCGGTAATAATCGATGTCATAATCAAAGACCAATTTCATAATTATTATTGATAATTAATATGAATAATAATTAATAGTAATATTGATAATTAATGTTGTCCAATAATATTAATATTCAATGTCACAATTAGTAACAATATAAAATAGCAGTAATTTCAAATGAACCATCAAATCTAGTGATAAAATAAAATTGTACTGAATAGACAATGAAAATTAAAAATAATTAATTAAATGAAAATGGAGGACCAACCTGCAATGGGTCTTGATTCAACAGTCAGAAGTCAAGATTCCACAAATTCAAAGGACTCAAAAGTGTCGAAATTGTCAAAGGAGACAAATATTTCCCGAATATCAAAAGACTCAAAGGCCGAGTCGAAGCATTCAAAGGATGTTCTTATATCGGCAAAACATAAACATCAACATTCGCCACAGCATCTACAGGAGCAGGAGCCGAGGCAGCATAGAACACAAGTCAAGGACGACACCAACATTCTTATGTTCACATCCTGTGGACAATTACTTCTCGGTAAGGACTCACTTTCCTGCAAATTAAACATTTAATTAGACTCAAATAATTAGGTGAAACTTTTTTCTTTTCATTGTTATTTTTTTGTAATTGTCCTTAATTGCTGTATGGTAAAAGAAAGCCTCGCTTATATCACAGGGAAAATTTATCAGCCTTAAAACGACGTATAGTTTCTTTACGAAGACAACTACTATCGAAAACAATCGAATAAATTAAAGAAGCATCTAAGATCTCAAGAGGCAATTTTCTAATGGCCATGAATAAATGTATTATATCTTTTTCTTTCACTTTACAAATATTGTAGTCTATAAAATAAAAATCTTCAGATATAAAACAGAAGATAATTAAATAAACTATCGCTATAGAATTAAATAAAGCGGATTTTTTCTACACCTAATTAACGAAAAATAATAAAAATTGTACTTTTTCACAAAACTCGATAAAAATTCTAAAATTATCAGTCACAATAATAAAAAAATACACAAATTATTTTTCAACACCAGTCAAATTGACAATTTTCAATATTTTAAATTTTAATGCTCTTAAATTCGTGAGAAAGTCTTATTTATGTGATAAAAATGCACATAACAAACTTGTAAATTTTGTTTAACGAAGCAAGATAAAATAAATTGATAGCGAATAGTAACCATATATTTTTCTCTACTAATCTGGAAACCTAATAAGTAATTTCATTGCATGTTTCCTCTTTAAAAATATATTATTTTTTTCGTAATTATTGGAGTGGAACTCATACCATCTATTTTTAAAAAAATATAATTCACGATTATTATTTTATAACTAGATAAGTACACAAATTTTGATTTAAAAAATGGTCAAAAGAATTATAAAATTAATTACTTATAAGAATCTAATAATTACTCTAAGTCATTAAATTTATCTTTATTATAAATAAAATATAAATAAATAAACCAGAAGCAATATAATACAAGTTATTTGAAAATGAAATTTTCAAGAAGTTAATAATTATTAACTTATTTCAGATGTTTTTTAGACGTCGAAGAAGATGACCTTATTCATGGTTATTTCAATATAAAAATATAATTCTTTTCATTAGGTATTAAATATAGTAAAGAATTATTATTATTATTTATTATTATTACTATTATTTTTAGTATTATTATTAAATTCTTTTATTATTATATTATCGTTATCATTCTTATTAGTAATATTAACTGTGATTATAAAATTATAATACAAATCAAGTTAACTTTCGTTTATGAACTCTATCAAGAAAATAATTTATTCAAATTAAAAGTTTTTCTACTTTAAAACATAATTTGACGTTATAAAAAAATTATTATTTGAACTGAGTTCGTAATAATAATTCTACTTTTATTACAATTATTATGAAAACGTAATAATAAAGATTTATTTACTTTTAAAACAATCGCCTTGTTAAATTTTTTTCCTCGCAGAGTTCATGTTTTAAATGCACTTTATGCAATCAAAGGTAATTTCACTTTTTCTATTTTACAATAAATACTTTTTTTCATAAATTACGATTATAAAGACATAATTTTTTTTCTTCAAGTTTCTTACAACATATTTCTGGTTTGCTCTTTATATTTGAACACAATAACTTTAATATCGAAAAGCCGTTAAATACTTTTTTGTTTTCAAATAAATTTATTAGAAACAAAGGCAAACTTTTAATAAAATACTTATTAAATTTAAAGAAAAGGAGAGAAAAAATATGACAAAATATGTAAAAATAAATAGAATCATGCCTCAAAAATCAATTAAATGAATTGAATAAAGATTAGAAAAAGGAAAGTTTGATTAATACTATCAGTAGTTGAAGAATGTAAAAACAAAATTCCACGAGAAGATGAAATTGATAATATTTGTGTATCAATATCAAAGTTAATTATTCAAAATTCAGGTATGAAAATTCCAAAATAAGTGAACAAATTCTTTCGGTACTTTCACTGTCAACGAAAAAAATGATATTATAGAAAGTAAAAAAGTGCCTTTGAATATGAAAATTAAATTTCACTTTTCATTTTCGTGTTAAATATATTCAGAGCAGCAGTTTATATAGCTTCTTCTGAATTTTAATGAATTTTTTATTACAAACATTTTTATGTAAATTTTTAAATATAATTTTTAATAACAAGTAAGGAAACGTTGATGATACGTTTAATTAAATTTTCAGTATGTCAATTATTTTGTGCGGTTTATTAAATTTAGTTTACAATTTTCGTCAATTATTTTATTTTTCATTAATTTGTACTTTCTTTATTAACTTTATTTGCTTTATTTACTTTATTTGACTTTTTGATTATTTACTTTATTTGCTTTATAAATTATGTATTTTATTTACTTTATTATTTCTTTTACTATTTTTACTAAATTTTATATTTTTTATTAATTTTATTTACTATCTACTTTATTTTATTTATCAATTACATATATTTTTACTATTTTCTTCCAAATAAAAATAGTTTTTAATTTCATAAATAATAATCAATAAATTTTTAATTAAGTGTACTAGAGAAAATTAGATAAAACACGTTTTTTTAGTTTTAATTTTCAAATAATATTATCTTCGTCAAAGCATTTAATCTACTGCTTTATTGAAACTTCATTTATTATTTAACCACTGTTTCAAATTTATTTTACTGTATTTTAATTATTTTGTGTGTTTTTATTTAAAAACGTTTTCATGATTACTTTTTGTTTGCTTAATTTTGAATTTATGTTTGTAGGGAATTAGTGAATCAACAAATTATGTTCCATAAAATATCAAAAGATTTATTTAAAAAATGAATCAAATTATTATTATACATTAAGCACATTACATTGTGACTGACGCCAAAAGACTGTGTGTATTACACCGCATGCATGTGCTAACAAAATGGACTGAGCGCGAAATACAAATTTTTTTTAGAGACCGAAAATATAACCATCCTACATTCGGCCGTCCTGACTTTTCATTCGACTTGAATGATCAATTAATAGCTACCCATGGTTTTAGATATTCGGCACATGAGCTAGTCTTAGATGGACCTTCGCCATCAGTTTTACGCTTAACATCGTATGTATCGTTTGATTTAACATTAGTGATTTAATAAGGACCTAGATATTTTGCATGTAATTTTCTGCCAGGACCCATTTGCGTACGCTTTATCGCAACTAAATCGCCTAATTTGTATTTGTTCGGTTGACGTCGCCTAAGATTGTAACCTTTTCGATTTTCCTCCTGGATTTTTTGTATTTTTTCTTTCGCTTCTTTTCGAAGAGTTTCACGGGCTTCTTCAAAATTTTCTTAAAATATTTGATCGACAATTTCTCGCAAATGTAGATCTTCCTTTAGTTTCATTTTTACGCCGATTAGAATTTCAAAAGGAGTTGTGTTAATACTTCTTTGAAAAGTCGAATTTAAAATTTGTTGGACACTATCTACATGTTGATACCATTTTGCGGGATTTTCTAATGATAATTTAGTCAGTATTGGTATCAAAGTTCGGTTGAGCCGTTCCACTTGGCCGTTGGCTCTCGGCAGTCCTGTCGTGATCATAGAATGTTTGATCTCTTCCTCTTCACAATAATTTTTAAATTCAGCTGATGAGAAAGCAGTCCCTCTATCAGAAATGATATGTACAGGATTGCCAAACACACGTTTTTGGACATTTAATTTCACTATAACCTCGTGGGATGTCGTCGATTTTGTAGGATATAGCCATACAAATTTTGTAAAGCTATCAATTACCGCAAGAATGTGTTGGTACTTTTTACTGGTTGATTCCAAAGGACCAAGGTGATCTATGTGGAATGTGTTTAGTGGCACGTCGGGTTTTGATAACGGGTGGAGAAAACCTTGTTTTCCTTGTTTTTTCTTTGACAAAATACACGGAATACAGCTCTCGATCGTTTTCCTTACTTTTACTTCAAGATTGTGAATATAATAATCCTTTTTAATGACATCTATAGTTTTTCTTTCGGCGAAATGTCCTTTTTGGTGAACTAACTGAATTATTTCTTTCTGCATCGACGAAGGCACCACTAGTAAATCTTCACCATTGACAAATTTGTACAGGATTTCACTACGTAGAGAATAATTTCTATCGGGCTTATTCTTCACAGATTCTTTCAATGTAATAATTTCCGGATCTTCATTTTGTGCTTTTCGCAATCTGACCAGTACATCATCTTCAACTACATTTAAAATTGCAATGCGGCTCAGCGCATCCACATGTTTCATGCGATTACCCGGCCTATGTTCGATGACATAATTAAAATCTTCCAAAAGAGATGCCCAACGCCAAATTTTAGTTGAAACATTTTTCTTCTTCATCGTTTGCGTAAAAGCAGCGCAATCCGTGACGATTTTTATTACCTTTGATCCCATTAGATAATTCCTAAATTTTTTTATTGCTTCGATTACTGCCAAAACTTCGAGTTTATAACTTTGATAATTTCTCTGAGTCGGTGATGTTTTTCTACTCATGTAATAAACTGGGTGCAGTTTATTATCGTCTGGTGATCGTTGAAATAAGATGGCTCCAAATCCATCTTGAGAAGCGTCGGTATGAACTTCTGTTTCGTGTTTTGGGTTAAATATTTTTAACACGGGTTGATTCGTTAATTGGTTTTTTAATTCATTGAAAGAACTTCGTTTAGGTTCGTTAAACTGAAAAACTTTATCCTTACGTAACATTTCGCTTAACGGTTTTGCAATTAATGAATATGATTCGATAAATTTTCGAAAATATCCTGTTAAACCTAAATACCTTTAAACTTCTTTCAGCGATTTGGGTTCTGGATAACGAATGACAGCGTCAACTTTACTGGGAGAAGAATATACATTATTATACTCCACAATGTGACCCAAAAAATTCGATACGTTCCTTCATAAAACTGCATTTTTCGAAATTAAACTCCAAACCATATTCGCTGGCGACCTTGAAAATTTTAACCAAGTGATTGTAAGCCTCTTCCATAGTTTGAGCCTTCAAAATAATATCGTCCAAATACAA